GGGGGGGGCATGCATTGCCTTCTGGATGCTGGCATGCAAGTGCAAACGTACAAGCGCACGCACAATTTTTGGCACAGGAGCCCAAAAAGGTTAGCCACCACTGCTCTATAGATTTCCAGAAGATGCTGGCTTGTCAGAAAGCACTGAAATTTATATCCCATCTTTACTATTTTTGCAAATAACTCAAGGCAGCAAACAGATCCAACACATCTTCCTCCTCGGATTTTCCCCACAACAACCCTGTGAGGTGCGTTGGACTAAGAGAGCGTTACTGACCCAAATTCACCCAGCCAACTTTCACACCTAAGGCAGAACTAGAATTCATGGCCTCCCACTTTCTAGCCTGCTATCTTAACCATTAGAACAATCTGACTCTCTCTCTCTCATATATAAAATAAAATTAGTTTATTGAAATAAAGGTAGTCCTCGACTTACAACCACAATTGAGCCCAAAGTTTATGTTGCTAAACAAGGCAGTTGTTAAGTGAGTGTTTCCCCATTGTACCTTCCTTGCCACCGTTGTTAGCCAGATCATTGAAGTTGAGTGACACAATTGTGAAGTCAATTTGGCTCTTGCGTTGACTTTGCTAGTCAGGAGGTCACAAAAGGGGATCACGTGACCCACTGCAACCATCATAAGTATGAGACAGTTGCCAAGCGTCTGGTTTTTGATCATGCGACCAATGATGCAATGGTCGTAAAAGTGAAATAGTCGTTAAGTCACTTTTTTCAGTGACGTTGCAAGTTTGAACTGTTAATAAATGAACTGTTGTAAATTGAGGACTACCTATAATCCAGTGGTCTGCAGGCATTTAGTCTGAAATTTCTCAGTGTGTTTATCTAAAACGTCCCAGGTCAGTATTTAGAAAAACAAAACAAAACATTGTCTTTAAAAGGAAGCCTTAAAAAAGAAACCTATGCTATTTTATAGCCTGGGAGAACAAAAGTGACCACCACACTCTATATTTCTGTCCAGAATTTGTATCGATCTCCGGAGTAAAATGAAGCTTTAAAAATACTTACAACCGTGCTGGAGGAATCGATACTTACTCTTAGGAAAACCTGATTTACAATGGCTTTGTTTGCATACATAAAAGTTGTGAGCAGCCCAATTCCCAGAGAAATTCCTGTTAGGAAAAAAGGGTCAATTATACAAACAAAAAGGGGAAAAGAAAAAAAAGAACAAAAGAGAAAAAAAACAAAACAAAAAAGGCACCAAACCCAAGTTTCTTTGAAACAAATGGCAAAATTAAGCAAGAAGTACACAACACTCTTTTAAACAAGGGGGACAAATACAACTGGCCTTTTTATACACAGGGGCACTGCAGCCCTAAAGTGCAACAAGATCCTAGGCTAATTAATTAATTTGTGAGAATCCTGGTGATGAATTAATAAAGAGCGTTTTTGTAGCTCCCACAACAAAATGGGGAGACCGATAAAAGGAGAATATTTGTAAGGGCTGAAATGAGAAGTCCTCGGTGCTCTCTGGGCTTGGTTGTTTTCTTGCAGACGTTTCTTTACCCAACCAGGTAACACTGTCAGTGCTAGAGGGGAGTGGGGTTTGCAGGGAGGAGGAGGAGGAGGATTGTGGGGTCCTTGGTGCTCTCTGTGCTCTGGTTGTTTTCTTGCAGATGTTTCTTTATCCAATTAGGTAAATTCATCAGAGCTAATAAGGAGTGGGGTTTTGGTCTCTACATGCCATAAAATGAGAGCAAACCCCACTCTCTACTTGCACTGATGATGTTACCTAGTAGGGCAATGAAACTTCTGCAAGAAAACAGCCAAGGACTCAGAAAGCACTCCTTAGAATGGGATGAGCCCAACACTTCGGCGAAAATACTTGGTAAAGGCTGGCTTGGAGATGCCGTGTTTTGACTGCGATATTTCCAATCTAACCAGTTCTCCACCTTATTCCTTCCTATCTCCCGGCACCATTATGCAATAAAAACGTAGTACAAAATGCAGGGGACGGAGCAGAAACTCAAATTAGAACAGCCTGTACTCCTTAAATCAAAGCAGTGTAATTAGAGCAAATGGCAACGTATCCGTGAAATTTTTCATATAGTTTATGTAATAGAACCGCATTCATTCTGACAGCATGACCTCAAATCTTTCCTGTGCAGCTTCACCTGGCTTTTTTTTAAAAAAAAAAATTGGGCATTTGTTTGTCAATTTGGGTGTCTCTATGCATTCAGTGTAGCATCGCAAGTGCCGGAAAGGTGTATTTTATAGCAGTGTTTTCCAACGGCGGCAACTGTTAAGACGTGTGGACTTCAACTCCCAGAATTCTTCAGCCAGCCAGCTGGAGAATTCTGGGAGTTGAAGTCCACACGTCTTAACAGTTGCTGCCACTGGAAAAAAACACTGTTCTTTAGTGTTCTCCTTGAAGGAAATCAGAATATTTTGACACAGCAGGCCATCTACACCCTAACTTTGAGCTGAGAGCCCCTGTGTATATGGCAACAAAAGGACAAATTAAAAAAAAATCCTAGATTTTTTCCCCCCATTAGCAATGTTTTTCTACTGGAGGCACAGAACATAAAACAGAGGTGGAAAGGTTAGAAATGGCATTTTAAAAAAAAGATGGATCCCCTGTTCCCTTTCAAATGGGGAAACTGAACTCCAAGATGAAGCTTAAGAACCAAAAATCCAAATCTGGGAAGCCATGCCCCAAAGAGGGACTGGAAGCCATCCGTTCCTCCCTTTTGCTGGGGGGAACTGAAAATGGAATATACATTAAAAATAAAAAAATAACTGTGTTTCTTGCTACAGATAGTCCTCAACTTACAATCATTTGTTTAATGACTGTTCAAAGTTACAATGGCACCTGTTGTGATTCGCCGGCAGCTTGTGCAGACAGCAGAGGAATCGGACAGTGGGGAAGAACGGGGGCCAGTCCGGGAGTCTGGAGAGGACTCGGACGAGGGTCCTGCATCCGATGCAGAGAGGGGGCCAGGACCATCTGGGAGTGGGGTGCTGACTCCGGAGCCTTCGGAGTCTGGCAGCAGTGAGGCAGAGGAGCAAGGGGAGCCTGTTCCCAGTGCGTGAGTGCACAGAGCTGCTAGAAGGCGAGAGCAGCTGAGACAAAAGGGGCGACTTGGGAGTAAGACTGGGAGGTGTTTGCCCCTCCCATAAGGAATAAAAGTCAGACTTCAATGATGAACACTTTGCAGGAAGCAAAGTCGTTCGCTCTGTTCGGATTCAACCTTGAAGCTCTGTATGTGGACTTTGTACTTCGGTTGGTTTTTTATAGTTCATTTGGCACTTTAGTTGTTGGCAGCAATTCAAAGGAGAGAAAGGTG